TCTTATTATGTAACTCGCAACAGTATTATAAAGGCAATTCTTCTTTTATTATTTTTTAATATTGATTATTATAACTCATACAGTACACATTATCCAAAAAACGTTTTAGAAACGTTCTTAAGACATTAAGAGAGGAATGTCCCTTGAAGGTCTATGCTGTATAAAAATTGATAATAATTTATAAATTATTCTAAATCATGCCGTTTTAATTTAAGAATTTAATGCTCTTATTTAACTTTTTATTCCTTGACATTACTTAGCATATCACACTATATTATTCAATCCAAACAGATATAAAAAATTTTAGAAATTAGATAATAATTGTAATCAGTCAAACATTATTAAAAGATTCGTGTAAATATTACGTGCGTGCGTGCAACGCTTCCGCTTATAAGATATTTAGTTAGTGTTGAAGATAATTTGACAGCTTAGGCCTTGACCCATTATTCTGATCATGATTACTTTCTCTCATCGTTTATGTCGTATTTGCAATAGAAAGTGAGCGCGTACTTGAATAACACCAGTTAATTATACATTTCTTTCAGGAAATTTCTTTGAATAATTCTCGAATTCGTATCGGAAAATTTTTATTCGATGAAATATTTGGTATTGATATTATTGAGAATACTGAAACAGACGAAGAAAGGCTAAGAAACTGCACGTGTGGTAAGAATGTCTTTCACAAATTAAATTTGTCCTTTAATTACTTTATTAAATCTTTTTAAAAATATTAAAAATATTAAAATTTGTTAATATACATATAATTTACGATTAAGTTATTACGTATATTATCTATTTTTACTATACTTATTTTGTTATAGAAGTAATGAATAATTTGTTTGAATTTAATATTTTTAAACACTAAAAGCATTTAAATTTCGATATTGATCTCAGAATGCGGTTTATCTAATCAAGAGAATCGAATAGTGGGGGGACGTCCTACATTACCGAATAGATATCCCTGGATTGCGAGGCTAGTGTATGATGGTCGTTTCCATTGTGGTGCTAGTCTGCTCAACAACGATTATGTAATTACCGCTGCTCATTGTGTACGGAAGTATGTCTTTATTCAATAAGTTTATAAATAAATACAATCAAAACGTAAATAATAACAATAATATAAATACAATAAAGTAAATAGATAGTATCACAAAATTATTAAGAACGACGTCATAATGTGTCATAATTATTATGAACGTTATTGAATAAGTATCTCGTAGAAATTCTAACATAATCTTTAATATTAAAAAAAAGCATAAGTGTGTGCTTTATTTATATTTTGATTCTATTTAATATATATTATTGCAATTAAATTAATGTTTTTATTTTTCTTTTTAAGTTTAAAACGATCGAAAATTCGAGTAGTACTTGGCGATTACGATCAATACGTAAATACTGATGGAACTCCTGTTATGAGAGCAGTGAGTGCTGTAGTACGTCATAGAAATTTTGATATGAATTCCTACAATCACGATGTAGCTTTATTAAAATTACGCAAGTCTGTGAAATTTTCGAAAAAGATTCGACCAATCTGTTTACCTCAACCAGGTAACATATGCATTGAACAGAATCAATCATGTGTGTGTGATCTGTTTTAAGATATTAAATATTGTATTTTTAATATGTTAATATATACAGGGACCGATCCTGCTGGAAAAGAAGGGACGGTAGTAGGATGGGGTCGTACTTCGGAAGGAGGCATGCTGCCTGGAAAGGTGCAGGAGGTGCAAGTCCCTATATATAGCTTGACGCAATGTCGAAAAATGAAATATCGAGCAAATCGAATTACTGAAAATATGATATGCGCCGGCCGAAATAACCAGGATTCTTGTCAAGGAGACAGTGGTGGTCCTCTTCTTGTTCAAGAAGCCGATAAGCTTGAAATAGCAGGTAAAACATTTATATTTCATTATAATAATATGTATAATTTTTAATAATATTTATAGATAAATACTGTTTCAAGAAGAAAAAAAAATTTTACGAAAAAGTACAGAAAAAGAAAACTACATTGAGAGTGATATTGTTTGAAGATGAAGGATTTATTGGTTTTTCAAACAAACAGCCACTTTACGTCCTACTACAAATATCTATGAAAAACTAAGAATTTCTTGTTTTAATCTATATAGTTTTTCGTAAAAGTATTTCTGTCAAATGATTATTATTCCTTCATTATTTGAGCAAGCATGTTGTAAAGCAAATATCTCCAGACAACTTTATTTATATTCACGCAAGTGTAAAAATCCGCAGAAATTCTCAATCAACAGACAAAAAAATGATTTTAAAATAATTTTTAAATATACATTTTACAATAATTATTTATTCAAAATAATGATTTGTATAAATATTTATTAAATTATTTAATATTTATCTATAATAATGATTTAAAAAAATATTTATAACATTTATTCAATATATATTCATATTACATTTATAATTTATTTGTAATAACAATTTGGAAAAACGTTTATTTAACATTAATTTAACATTAATTATTTTGCAAGTAGTACCAGACACCACCGCTAGATGGACATTGTTTTTTGTAAATAAAAACCACACATAGAAGGTGCAACAATATGAGATTTCTCATCCTTCATGTTCTGATGAAATGTTAATGAAATAACCTTAAAATTAAGCCTAAAATTAGGCCCCAGATGAAAATTGAAGTATTTTGTTATAATTCTTAGTTCTCGCACTTTTCAACAGATAATTTCTTTAAATATTTTTACAAATATTTTAAAAACGTTGTTTACTGATTTTAAAGTAATTTTGGTAAAACATTTTTCAAATGTATAAGGAATGTCCTTTTATACGTTAAAATAAATGTTTTTTTAATGAAAAAAAGATGACTCATTATTTTTATCATTTCTAAAAACTTTTTTAAAAATATTTCTTAAACGGTTTTTAAAAATGTTTTAAAAGCGTTTTTAAAAATTTTAAAATAAACATTTTTCAAATGTTAAAAAAATATTGTTTTAAACATTAAAATAAACGCTTCTCTTTAATTAAAAAAAAATAACTTAACCCATTATTTTTAAAAATGTTTTTAAAAATATTTGAAAAACGTTTTCAAAAACATTTTTAACATCATTCTTTGCTGATTGGGATCTTACTATTGAAACATTTTTGTTCATATAGGACTTATGTATATATTAAACGTATTTAATAGGTATAGTGTCTTGGGGTGTGGGATGTGGTAGACCAGGTTATCCCGGAGTTTATACAAGAGTAACCCGATATCTCAAATGGATCCATGCAAACATGAAGGAAGGCTGTCTGTGTGTCACCTGAGGATCTGCTTTCACCTCCGACTTGTACATAAAATTTCACATGCAATGATTGTAATTAATCACTGCAATAAGTACGTTTTATATTATTATTCTTAAATAACTTATTTGGCGGAACTGAGTACAATTTTTTATTAAATACTGACTTATCAAATATAGTTCCTTGTATACATGTTATTATTGTTAATTATTAATTATTGTTTATATATGTGTGTATAAAATGTAAAGGATATATTTTTTTGTAGAAAATTTAATTTAAGTAAGATCAGAGCACACATACTTAGTTCGCTTCACACGTTTCCATCACCTTTGATCGTACGAATAGCGGTCAAACGTTTCCGGAATAATTAGCAATCAGTAACGGTTCACTGTCAAACCGGGCTAAAGTTGACTCATCTAAATGCACTTCGCGTACAATAGTATCTTTGTATGCGCAACTAGTAATTTGTACATAATAGAAGATAGTGTAATTTATGTTAATCTAAATTACTGATATTGCCTATTACGTGTACATAATATGTATGCATATGTGTTACAAAATAATATGTATAAACTTACAAAAGACTTAGAATGTATTAATAAATATAAAATGTACTTAAAACAATCGTTGCATATTTTGTTATTATATAAAAATAATTAAAATTATATATAGATAAAAAAATTTTATTTATATTATGCTTTATAAAATTTACTTTCTAAAATAATTGTTATTTAATTTTTACTTATTATTACATTACACACCTGTATGTATAATATTAAATAAATCGCAACATATACATATGTTCTTATATTTTTAAAATTAGAATAAGATTAAAATATAATAGGCACATTATTTTTATCTTAGCATGACTAACAATATGACAATACATAATTTTACACAATATTAATAATAAAGAAAGAAAACTCAAAATGTACGATACTACACTCTTCCTAAAATTGAATTTTTATATTTTTCGAAGAAATATAAATAGATGGTTAATAATAACGATGACAAAGTTGCTAAACCTGCTTCTTCAATCAAAACTAGTTCTAAGAAATAATATTATAATAATAGGATAGCAATCAGCGAAAACTTTATTATAAATTCTCATCGAAAATAAAAATAACAAGATTTAATTAGTATATTAACAAGACTACTTTTTTCTTCCAAAACTAGTCGATGAGATATTCATTAATAACAAATTGTTTGTGAAATGTGTCTGCTAAACGGTGCCAGATGATGCACCAAATGCGTATGTGCATATAATAAAACTAAAATACGTACTTGTATATAAGCTTCTCTTTTTGCACTTTCTTTTATTTCATTATGCATTCGCACGATGATACGTTAGGACGCATTGCGAAATTGTGAAAAATGTTTTAATTAAATTTAAACAAAAATCATTGTTTTAAGAATTTATTATACTATCTACTATAAATGAACATACTATCTACTAAAAAATCTACTAAAATTAAAAAAGAAGAGATTTTGTGTGTATACAAAAGTAATACAAACATTTTAATATCAACTTTTCCTTATCATAAATATTTTATAAAACATTCTTTTAATATATATAAAATATACCTAAAGATTAACGAGATAATTGAAAGTAAAAGTAACGTTACTACTTTTCTATGGAAGTTATCTTATAAAATAATTAATAAACTATTTAATGTGCTAATATCAAATAAAAAAATAGAAAGATATTATTTTTACATTTTTATTGATATAGAAATTTATGTAAATGCAGATGACAATACCTAAACAACTCTCAATAATGGGTATAATAATTTCTCGTCGTGGCCCTGATGACGGTCAATAACAGTTATCCGTGATTCGACCCTGAACATGAACGTGAACTGGTCAGGTACCGGCCGACTGGCTGTGCCCGCCTTCCCTTCCGGAATAGCAATTACTTCTTCGACCTCTCGGTCCTCCATAGTCGGCGTAGGACGCCAGTGATAGTCGCTCTCAGTCAGGGACATGTCCATGACTCGTTTCTGACGGTGCCCGTGTGGCAACACTCATATATCTACAAAGACTTAATTAAAGTTATAAGTGTATGATTATCGGTGCAATAAGTTACTCAATCAAGTCGCAGAATATGAAGCCTTCGTGTTTCTTAATTTTATTATTCATTTTGTTTTTAGCGACAAAAAAGTGTCAGGTAAGAATTGCATTTATGAATAATACATACAATTAATTTATTTATATGGTATACTACTATGTCTCTTAAAAAATCGTTAAAATATTTTCTGAGATGTAAATTTTTTAGTTCTTATAATCTTAATTTTTAGTACATTTAATTTTAATATAAAACAAAAGTAGAGTAAATTTAGGTGTTAATTTAGAGGAATTATATAATGAAAAACAATTAAGAGATATATTTGACAAGATACAAACATATAATTTAAATCATTTTAATAACTTATCGAAGTAAAAAAAATGTACGTGACAAAAAATTACAAAAATAACTTTAAATTTATTTCTATTTATCTTTTTTTATAAGAATAATCTGTAATTAAAATAGTTATACATCTTATTCCTACCTATTTATATTTAAAATTTTATATAAATATAATTATTAAATATATAAATATAATATAACAATAAATTTCCATATAGCTTCAGATATTCTGGGAATGTCCTTAGAACACAGTTTTCTGGATGTCTTTAGAATGTCATTTGAATACCTGTGCTGTATGGGAAGCACATAGATCATTAATTAATGTAATTATTTTTATTTTAGGCCGAAATGTTTGATGAAAAGATAAAGTATTTCTTTGGAGTTTTTGGTAATAAGCCACCTTATTCCACTGAATCACCTGCGCCCTGCTACTGTAGTGCGTACTTCAATATTCCTTTTCTTGTTAAGTTTTACTTTTATTAAACATAGTGTTGTGAAAAACAGTGCAGAAAAAGTGTACTACACTTCAATTGTTACAATCTAGGTTGTGGATTACGGAATGAAGAAAGTCGTATAGTTGGAGGTCAAACGACGAGTATGAATGAATTTCCATGGATGGCTAGATTATCGTACCTAAACAAATTTTACTGCGGTGGTACACTTATAAACGATCGTTACGTTCTCACAGCCGCACACTGCGTGAAGGGGTAGGTATGGTTTATAAATATTGTGCATCTAGTAGAATCAGAATTAATGTTAATATTAAAATTGGATCTTAATTCTAACTTTTGTTTTTATAAAAAATATTTTATAAAAATTTTTGTCAATATATTATTATTTTTATTAAAACATATTTACAATTTCAATAGATTTTATTAATAATGTAACAGAAATAAAAAATTTAGCCAAAAGAAATAATAAATAATAATAATCACAAATCTTAAAAGGTATATTTAATTTGTTTTATTGTTATAAATAAAATTGGAAGTGAATACTCTCTCAAAATATTTCTATGAATTAGATTTGTTTTTACAGTACATGATTACCTAAAAATTAAGAGTTACCAAGAAATTAATGAATGAATTTCATTGATAAATCTCTTGGTAACCTTTAATTTTAAGGTAACCATATATTGTGAAAACAAGCCTTAGAATAACTGTATAAAATACTAACTACTAATCGTACTATTGGCATCATCTACTCAACACGCAAACGGGTCAAACTTCATATTTGCATCCTTGATTAATGTCATGCTACAAGGAAAACTTTTAGTGCCGTTAGCTCCTCTATGTTGACATGAAGGAATGATAAATTATTTCAGTATTGACGATTATAATTTTTAGTTACTTGCAATAGAGCAATATGAAGAGTTTGTTACCTTAAAGTTGCTTGTTCACATATATTTATCTTAACAAAATGAATAGCATAAATTATTATATAAACAGAAACGTTATGTAAACATTGTTTAAAAAGTTATTCATTCAATATACAATGAATATGAAAATAAGAAATTAACAAATAAGAAATTAAATGTAAGATTTTCATATTACTAAAATATAGAAATTCTAGAACACATGATTGAGTCAATGTAAAAAAAAATTGAATTATTATTAAATATATTAAATTGGAAGATATTTTCTGTAGAGTTCATTTATTTTATTTAAAGTTCTTCCATTGCAAACTTATTCGCCAGGCGAATGTGATCAGCTCTTCTAGTCCAATTTTCAGATTCATGTGGTTCATGATCAGAGTTACTTTCGGGGAACACGACAGATGTATCGAGAAATCACCGGAAACCAGATACGTAGTGCGCGTTATGACTGGTGACTTTAGCTTTCTGAATTTTGAAAATGATATCGCGCTGCTTCGTCTTAATGAAAGAGTGCCGTTGAGCGATACAATAAGGCCCATATGTTTACCAACAATGTTAGGTAAGTGTACTTTTATTTTTTTTTTATAATAGTATAATGATAATAATAATAATCTAATAAAAATATTTTTATAAAGATAAATTATTACTATGCGAGTGTATTTATTTTCTTTTTTAAAGACGCAATAAATAATAATAAGAATAATATTAAATGCACAATTTTTATCATAATTAAAATTATAATAACACATATATTGTAAAAATTAATAATAATAATAATGACAATATATTGAAATTTCTTGACGTACTATAATATGCTTTATTAATTTTCTACGTTTGACAGATAAATTGATAATAAGTTTTTTATTCAAGACACGCAATTATTGTATAATCTTAATTTAACATGTCGAATGCATTATCGATATCTACTTTCAAAGCGTGTTACAATTTCATGCTTAGACGATGTTACAATAGCATTCAATCACGATTAATTTTGGTCAATGCATTTTTGTAAAACGCATAATATTGGATATATTAAGCGACCTATGATTAGCAATCATGTTTATTATGCGACGATTACGTAATAAAAAAGTCATAAATTAGTCAATATACGGGTACCTACTCTCAATTGAAATGTACTGTCGCGTCGCACAAATAACTGCGTAATAATGAAGATTTCTCTGAAATCGAGGACTTGAATTTGCATTTCGAATGCACGCAATCATCTTTTTCTGAATTTGTTAACGCAGCATGACATGGTACACTTACCTGCCCTATTTACCGGCATTACAATGTATTTGCATTAATAATATACATATAATATATTTTTACTTGAAAACCTCTTAACTTTCTTTTAGTGATTTTCACTTTTTTTATTATTATTTTTTTAAATAGAAAGTTGATTACTACTAAAATTCTTTTTATCAGATTTATGTTGATACATTGTGATATTATTAAATATGTATATTTAAATTTGAACAAAATTATTTTAAAAAAATGATAAAAACAATATTTTACTAATTCTTTCCATAAAATTATTATTGTAATTAGTCGCTTTAAGTAATTATTCGTCATAATACGTAATGTTTAAAGCATGTCTAAATGTCTAAGCATGAATTATTTTTTAGAAAACGAATATGTAGAGGCAAAAGCAATTGTATCAGGTTGGGGTACATTGAAAGAGGATGGCAAACCGTCCTGCCTTCTCCAGGAAGTAGAAGTTCCAGTCATGAGTCTTCAGGCTTGTCGCAATACCAGCTACAGTGCCCGAATGATTTCAGAAAATATGCTATGCGCAGGTTATCTTGAAGGACAAAAAGATTCATGTCAGGTAATATTTACTTACTTGTATATGTGTAAATTAAAAATAGAAAATTGTAATAGTAAATAAAAGAATTTTGAAAAGCATACAATGCAATTGCAAAACATATCTTACAATATATTAGTATAGTACATATTAATACTACACTAACGCAGTGCATATAATTATAACTTAAACTCATTTTATTACATTGAATATGACTGGATTGAATTCTGTGTGCGAATAATAAGGAATCTTTCGTATTATAGGGAGATAGTGGTGGTCCTCTAATAACGGAGCGAGAAGATAAAAAATATGAACTCATCGGTGTGGTGTCCTGGGGTAATGGATGCGCAAGACCTGGTTACCCAGGTGTATATACAAGAGTTACACGATATATGGATTGGATTTTGAAAAATTCAAAAGATGGCTGTTTCTGTGAACATAATTGATTATGACTCAGCGATTGTTAATCGTAAACATGATAAAAAGAGACAAATGACAAATGACTTTACTATTGTATATATAAATTCTTTAAATTCTCGTGCTCTGTTCTCAGGATATATATGATATTTTTGTCATAATTTTTTTTTTTATATAAGAAAATAGATAACGGGCTTAAATAATTAAAATTAAAGTTGATAAACAATAAAAGGGCTACAAGTCAAGTTGAATGTTCGTCGCTAACTCAAAGCGGAGCCGAAACGTTTATTTATATATTTTAATTTAAATATAAATTTATAGTTACGCACGGACACAACAACTACGTTTCAATTCTCATTAGCTCAATCATTTGTTGTTTTGTTTATAAAACTCTTGAGAGTCCATAAATCTTTATTTTTAACGAATTAATCTTTAATAAACACAAACAGTTTCGTTCCATTAACGGGTCATCAATGTGACAGATATAACAAAATATTTTGTCTAAAAAATTTTGTAATATCTGTCACATTGAAAATGACCCGATAACGAGTCATTGAGAATGACGGATCGAAATAACTGTTTGTCTCGAAGCTCTTTTATTGTTTATCTACTTTAATTTTAATTATTTAAATCTATTATTTAGTTCCTTATTTTAAGTTACGCGCGCACCAAAACATGCGTTATAATAATAATTTTTTAAATAATTGTAAAAAGTAGACGCAAACAAAATTTTTTTAACAAATTATTTTGTAATTATTTGTAACATTGAAAATGACCCGATAACGGGTCGAATTTGTGTTTTTCTTATTAACAAATTTTATTTAATTAATTAGCAATAAACATCCAGTTTGACTCGTAATTCTTTTATCTATTTTTTTTATAATTTATATATTTAGAGTGATGTGCCAGATGTGAAATTGATGTACTTAAATTGCTCAAAAACAATGAATTTTTGTATAATATTATTTTCACGTTTTATCTATTAGATTTTTTGTTATTTCTCTCTCTCTCTCTCTCTCTCTCTCTCTCTCTCTCTCTCTCTCTCTCTCTGTTTATACTTATAGCGGCAATAAATAAATAAAGAAAGGCGATATTATAAAATTATGAATAGATATGACATGTCAGCATTTGTTATATTATAACATGTTTACAAAAATAATATTATATTGTGCAATATTTACCATACAATTTTTTTACGACTGCTGAAATATAACCAAAGGTTAAAATACTCAATTCTGTTGCCGAGGAAATTGACTATAGTGAGATTGAGATTAGACTTAAGCTATCAATGTTATATCTTTTTATAGGAAATATTATATTATAATATGCGATAGAAAAATGTAATAAATGTTTGCATTAATTAGCTTTAAATGCCCTTTAACATATTTTCCAAATATGATTTAAATATAATTCATCTGAAATTTTATACCTCTATATTTTAAATTTTGCATTATTATATTCTATTGATTTTGGAAATTTTTTGAATAAATAATATATAAGAGAAAAATACAAATTATTTTTAAAATTAAGATTGGTAATTTCCATTTTATGATATGCAACCATAAGAAATATATGCAAAATATAATATATATATATTATATATATTTTATATTAGGTTAAGTAAAAAGTCATCGCGTTTTTTTAAAAGACATCTATCAGTAAAAATCGCAATTACTTTCTTACCAACAATATAAATATATCTTGATAGAGTAAAGTTTCAGCTTTAAAAATCTCTTTTTTAAATTATACGATACGACAATTTTTAATGGAGTTATGAGCAATTAAAGTCAAAATAATTCTTTTATTTAATCCGCGATAACTCAGTAATCAAAAGTCGTAGGAATATTAAAAAAAAACGATTTTGTAGGGAAAGTATCAAGCTTTCACGATAGGTAATCGAAAATTTTCTCAAATTCGTTTTGGACACGTTACAAATCCACAAAGTGAGAAGAAAATTTTTCGTCTTTTTCAGCTCGTAGTTTTTGGTATGTAAAAATTATCAAACTCATATAAACTTGAAAAATGTGATAAGCTTTTAAAAGTAGAGATTTCAAGCTTTAAAACCCTTTTTTTAAATTTGAATTTCATTCATTATTGACGAAGATATTGTATATACAACTTTGAGCTAAAAAATACGCGATGACTTTTTACTCAACCTAATATATTAATAATTTTATAGAAAAATATTTACATAGTGCACATATCACAAAAACAAATACGTATTTGATATTTCTGACTTCTAATATTTTTAGAGTTTTTACAATATGTGCAAAAAAACATTTTTTACAATATCAGCCATATACACTCTCTTTCATCTATAATAATAAACAACTTTAATAAAACAGTACATCAAATAAAACAGTGATCAAAATTATTATAAATGTGTAGATTTTCATTATTTATTCTTTGGTAAAAAATGCATTAACAAATTTTTAAATATCAAAGATATCAAAGATATCAAAGACATCAAACAAATTTCATTGCATGACTACGATGCCAAGAAATGTATAACGGGACTGACAAACCGGTTAGTAATCTACTTTCCAGGCTAAAATAAAATATAAAAAATGAAATAAATACAACGGTAGAAAAAAATACGAACTTCAGCGCAAATGTAAAACGTATGGATTATATTCAATTTACATTCCTGAGAGTGTCCCAGGATGCGGGCGATGATAGTCCCGCTATACAACACAAACCAGTCATTTAAGTGAGACCAGTATCGCCTCGACTACCGACAGAAAAGTCATGAAGCTGCAAGTCTATATCAGATACCTCATTTGTATCTTGTTGGTGAATTTTGGAAGAATTGACTGCAATGGATGCGTCATCAATGCTACTGTAAGCTTCAGCATATCAAGTTTGCCGTGCTAATTTTTATTATAGTGGACTAGTTTTACAATTTTTTATGTATTTCCATAAATTGCATATATTTAACATGTATATGACATACATTATGCAAAAACAATTTTAATCATAATAATATAATTAATTTCTATTTTACATAGAATTATATACATTTCTTTCTACATTTTTAATTTAAAAAACACTTAGACATTAAAAATTATTACTTGAATTACAGCTAAAAAATATTATAAATGTATAAAAGCTTACATATGTATTCGTTGATTAGGTTGATAATCAGATTAAAATAAGGCATGAACGCGGTGTTTTCGATCTTCTTTTGGGAAGATTCCGGACCTGTGGTGGTTGCTGTAAGTAACATTATTACGATACAAATGTAACTATTAAATAACATGATATAAGCAAGGATAAAATTTAAAAGCGTTAAAACAATTCTATACTTAATATGTAAATAATTTATTACAAATAACTAATAACAATAACTACTTATTAATATCATATAATGAGCAATCTATTATTTAAATAGTAACAAAAGAAGAAAAACAATTCTAGCAGATTATTAAATTTACTGATTCTTGTTATAATTTATAAATATGAACTACTAACTATTATCTCTAAACTACTTTTTATTTATTTTTTATCGTACAAGACATGTCAAATATATTTTAACATTATAACTACTTTCTCAAAAATTATATAATAATCATTTATAACAACTTATTACATTTAACAAGAAATATTAATGTTTGCCCGCATTTATGAGGAAACTTCATGATACGCAATTCATATCATATTTTTTTTAATCTTTGACAAAATGGAATGGTTAAGCTGTGTTAACTATATATATTAATTAAATAATACACATTATGTAAAGCGTGAAAAATGTATAAAAAAAACAACAGTCAGTGTTTTAACTGTGAAACGTAACAGACATCAGTAAGATTTCCAATTGTGTTATTACTACTTTTGTGTGTTAAGCATTATGTATTTTATTAAAAATATGTTTTTCTTTAACTATATATGCTTTTATAAACATATACATATATAATAAGTGTACACACATATATAATAATTTCCTTTTAATATTTCTTGTACATTTGCTTTCTTTAACCTAATCTTTTATATATATTCGATATAAAATATTTTTTATACATCTGTAGTATGCGGTCGACCAAATCGTAAGACAGCGCGATTATTGGGTGGGGAACATACAGAATCGCATGAATTTCCCTGGCTCGCAAATATTCACATAAAGTCCAAATTGCTAGTGAGTGGAGTATTGATAAATGATCGTTATATCTTAACAGCAGCTAGTCAACTTATCGGGTTAGTATAAAGTAAAATTTTCAGCATTATTACAGTTAATAATAATAGAAGAGACTGAAAATGTAGGATATTCTGTATAATTAATATTTTTCTCGGCAGAGCAACAGCACATGAAATAAAAGCATCCTTGGGAGAATATGATCGATGTAACTTAGATATCTCATCAGTAAACATTAGCGTCGAGTCTATAATTTTGCATCCAGAATTTAATCTAGAGTCGAGTACTCATGATCTAGCTTTAATTCGTTTGAGTCGACCAACTAAAATCGAGAAGAGAATATCACCAATATGCTTACCCAATCCAGGTTTGTTTCTTTTTATGATTCGTAATATAATACAGCTATTGATATCTAATAAATATGAGGATAAAATATAAGAGTATATAACTAAATCTTTTCTAAATTCTAGGATCAACTTATCTTGGTCAAGTTGGAACTTTGGTAGGATGGACCAAGCACAAAGATCAGGCTGATAATGCGGCATGTAGGCCTCGAAAATTAGGACTTCCTATTCTAGGACAAAACGAGTGTATTAAATCAGGAATAAATGCAATGAACTTACAGGATGATTACGGATGCATTGGAATTGTTGGTACAAATTCTTTGGTATGCGAAGTAAGTGAATACATGTCATATTACGACTTTAGAATACAGCAATATATAATAATATTTATCTAAAATTTACAAAAGTATTTAAACTTAAAAAAATTTTTTATAAATTTAAATAAAAGCAATATTATTTATCTAGATTTGAAAACAACAAATTTACCAAAACTACGTATCATTTATAATTATATATCAAAATAATGTTACATATTTATAGAATGACGTCGGATCTTCTGTGCAATATCGATCATATGCCGGAATTTATGATCTTATTGGTAAATATGATCATTTGTAAAACTAAAACTGTTTAATATTTAAAAGTGTTTAAATATTTAATTTATTATACTATATAATAAAAATACTTCTATACTAATAGTAATATATTTTAAAAAATTGAGTTTAAAAAATGTATTTTATTCAAAGATAAATTATTAATTCTTAAAGAAATATATTAGTAATAAAATATGTATATATATTGTATTATAGGAATTATTCCGAGCGTGAATAAATGCGACGATTCTCCCAAGCCAACTGTTTTTACGAGAGTAGGGCCGAGTCTCGATTGGATATTACAACACACTAAAGATGCCTGCTACTGTACAAAATAATACAGCAAACTTACAGAATATTATTGCATATGTGATACTAATAATTATTTTATTGTTGTTATTTTTACTGCTATATATGTTACATTTTAAAAAGTAAAAATAATATTAAATATCAAATAAACAAAGCACTATTTAAAATGCATATATGTATGTACACATTTTGTTATTACACATGTATAAAAATGTGAAAATTATAATATATTAAACGAATGTATACTTCTTGAAATAAAAATATTTTTATTGCATTATAATAAGATATAAACTATAAAATATAAACAATGTATTTTAAAATAATTTCGAAATTATACCAGATACTAAACATTGAATTTTATAATGTTCAAACATTTTACAGACTAAGTAATTTGTTACTTCTCAGTAGGAAAACATTGTAAACCTTAAGTATTACCTTATCTAAAAACTATTGGCGAGTTAAACCACATCCGTTCTTCAGTATTCTCGCACGTCGAAATATTAGTCATTAAAATATATTTTACACTGTGCATTAAGTGTAGCACACGTCAGTTCAATAAAACACGTCTTAAAGAAAATTACAATTTCTTCTTAATGTTACGCATAGAATATTTCATATTAATTAATTTATCGTGTCTAACAGTTAAACATGTTAATACGTTACCGTGGTATAAACGAGTTCATGGACATACTGATAGATTTCACGAAACTTCTGATTATGAATATTGCGGTAAGATCAGTCTTAAATAATTTCATGCAACTTCGCAAGTAATGACAAAAGAAAAAATAATAACATCCCTACATTAAATATTAAATCTTTAATAAATGTTATATACTATCTTTGTTCTTATAAAAATTGTTTAATAATGTTGTTTTCACTTGTACATATATCCATTGAAATAAAATAAATAAAATATTTATCGAATATGATATTTTATATGCATGTAAGGAAATAAATCTAAATCATTAAAAATGATATAAAATTTAATATTATAAAAATATTCTTTTTGTTTTTATTATCATTATGTTTTAGAATGCGGAAAAAAAACTACTTCATCGTTGTCCAGAATAATTGGAGGGCGAGAAGTTTTTGAAAACGAATTTCCCTGGATGGCTGGTATTATAAGTATCAATAAATCACAAGTAATCTGCGGAGCGTCAATCATAAACGATCGTTATGTAATAACTGCAGCCCACTGTAATATTAATGGGTACGTATTATATGGGTACTATTTATAATGTGAAAAAACATCATCACTTCTTACAATGAATAATTTCTAAATGAAAAAATAAGTTTTAAAAGCCTATATTTTTACATTAAAAAAGTAGATACTACATTAAAACTATCATATATATTAAAATTATTTATAACATTATTATTTTTTAAAATAACTCTGGAGATTTTATCAAAACTTTTTTATGAATTTTAAAATAAAATTTAAATTTACATTTAAAAAAATTTTATTTAGTAAATAATTATTATAGATAAAAATAAAAGAAAGAAAAAAAAAGAGAAAGAAAGAGAATAAAAATATTATATACATTACATGCCAATAAAAGTTCATATATAAATTTACTATTCTTATTATGTTATTCTCTTACGAAAGTACATATTTAAAATAATTTTTTAATAAAATTTAATTTACATAAAAAAATTTATTTTATTTACAATAACGTTTGCATATTTACAAAGATCATATAAATTTGTAAGCAAAATGTAAAGTTATATTTTATAATTTTAGCAAAGATGATTTAAAAGTATCTGTTGGCGCTCATAATTCATGCAAATAGGATGCAAAAAGCATTATCTTTTCTGTTAAGAATATTTTCCCACATCCAGATTACAATAGAAACACAAATTTCGCTGATATCATGCTTGTAAAATTAATTATGAGGATTACTTTTAACGAACTTGTTAGACCGATTTGTTTACCAAAACTCGGTAATTTCTATAATTATCTTGTGTACAATATTTTATATCAATAGATATTAAGATTCGCAACTTTTAAATAAAATACTTAATAATTATTTTGCATTTTTTATGCAGAACTTGATGCAATCTCTCAATACAAAGGACATTCCGTATCTGCACTTGGCTGGGGATTTTCAGAAAATGAATTTTTATTTAATACAGACTGTGGTTTACGTATTGTAGATTTAACGTTATTTAAAAGATCGGAATGTCTTACTAACGTTTCGACCTTGCTTTGCGCAGGATATAAAAAAGCATCCCGAGGCACTTGTGGGGTATTCTTAAATATTTATAAATATTTTAATTAAATGTTCTCTTATATATAATTTACTATTTATGTTTGTATTAACATTATGAATCATTTTCATGAAGTAATAACTATGCATGTCTAATATGTTTCTAAACATATACAATAAATAATTTTTCTTAATGTTTTGAATCATTAGTTAAAGCTATTGATTTTAAATTGTATATTCAATTTTTTTACAACAGTCTATTCTTAATCATTATAGAACGGGAAAACTATTGTAATGGTGCTGAAATAGTGTCACATACTTTGAGGCAAGAAATATAATGAAATAGTGAATTATAATAAATCTCAAGAAAAAGCAGTAAGATTTTGAGAATAAATCGTCCTCTAAAAATTACTGATATTGCATATATTAGGTTGAATAAAAAGTCATCGCGTATTTTTTAGCTCAAAGTTGTATATACAATATCTTCGTCAATAATGAATGAATGAAATTCAAATTTAAAAAAAGGGTTTTAAAGCTTGAAATCTCTACTTTTAAAAGCTTAACACATTTTTCAAGTTTATATGAGTTTGATAATTTTTACATACCAAAAACTACGAGCTGAAAAAGACGAAAAATTTTCTTCTCACTTTGTGGATTTGTAACGTGTCCAAAACGAATTTGAGAAAATTTTCGATTACCTATCGTGAAAGCTTGATACTTTCCCTACAAAATCGTTTTTTTTAAATATTCCTACGACTTTTGATTACTGAGTTATCGCGGATTAAATAAAAGAATTATTTTGACTTTAATTGCTCATAACTCCATTAAAAATTGTCGTATCGTATAATTTAAAAAAGAGATTTTTAAAGCTGAAACTTTACTCTATTAAGATATATTTATATTGTTGGTAAGAAAGTAATTGCGGTTTTTACTGATAGATGTCTTTTAAAAAAACGCGATGACTTTTTACTTAACCTAATAATATATTTTTTATATATTGACTATCTTTTAAAAAATATTTATTTCTTGTTTAGTTTCAATCAAAAATATATCATAAGAGTCAAAAATATGTCATAAGAGTATCAATATCAATGTACAAATAAACTCAAATTATATATTTACAGAACCGATTTTAGCAATCATCAATATTTAATTTTCTGTGTAATTTATTTATCATTATCATGTTCATATTATTATCATGTCATAAAATACATTAAGAGATACAGCAATATAAATAATTTAAATAAAATGTTATATTATAAATTTATTTATCACACAGGGTGATAGCGGCGGCCCTCTTCAGATCTTGAATGAGAATTATAAATACGTCTTGATAGGTGAGTTGTAATATATACATATAGTCAATAACTTGATAATACAGAATTAACAAAATTTATTTTATAGGAATTACTACAAGTGGACTACTATGTGCTGACGTTAATTATCCAGATTTTTATACGGATGTTACACAAATGATTTCATGGATATTGCAAGTAACAAAATATGATTCCAAATACTGTTGGCATTGGTATGATTGAAACAATCTTCTAAATCATACATATAGAAATATCGTATAAAGAACAACGGATTTGTATCCGATAAGTCCAAATCCCGCATCCCGTATATATATATATAGAAAATTTCGTAATCCTTACTAACTTAACGAAAGTCGCAAAGAAACTCTTTAAATCTGGTGATTCTTTGGTTCAGACATGCAGAGACTGATATGATTCTACCCATCCCCCCATTATTACTACTATTAAATCATACAATCAAATAATTATTGAAATAATTTATTAATAAAAATGAAGTAAAAGAATAAACAAATTTTATACTATTCATTTTACAATATATGAATTATGATATAAAATAATAATAAACACGATATACAAATTTGTAAAATAATTTACGCATTGTATATAGCGTTAATTCCCAATCATTTTGTTTTATTGGTCCAACCTTATTTTTTCTTTTCTATTATTTTAAACGTTTAGAAATTTATAAGAATATATAAATATTCTTATAAATTTACTAATACTGAAGTGCAGACAATTTATGATTTTCTCACAATCCATTTAACGTTTATCAGCTGTTGCGGCACATAAAACGTTGTTGCATGAATTGTCCATAACTCGTGAACTATAATGCTCTGTACTTGATTGTCGACGTGCACGATACGATATCTGCAGGGCCGTACTGATATATGTGTCGAAGCAAAGAAATGGCAACTAACCAATAAAAATTCAATGAATGTTCAATTATCTTCAATGGCCATAATTTTTATATTAAAGTTACGCCTAAGGCAATAATGATGCTTTTGAAATTGCAATTCTTTTATACTTGATTTATGATGCAATTATGTGATTATTCATTATTAATAAACTTCTTTACTGTTCTATACTCTTTTTAGATTTAAGCGTAATGAAGAGAACAGCTATTTTCTGATTTATCCCTTTTTTTATTGAGAACGCAAGTTCTCAAATTGTCTTCTTTCTTCTCCATGCACCGACTTTAGTCACAGACACAATTGCTATAGGAAATCCTTATAAGAATTTATCGCCCATATACCACTTTAATACCCTTTCCCGCCTTTCCAAAAGTAATTTATAACACTTTCGAGTGAGAAAAAGCAGCGACCTGTAAAATCTGCCGACCTATTCTGAACAGAATAAAGTACATTCTTCACATAAAAGATAAAATTTAACAATTGAATATGTATATTAGTAATATTAATTGATTATAACAATATATTATATGTAATATATTATATGCTACATCAACAAATAAAAACCAATCTTTTCAATTTTTGAAACTTCGAATATTTTTAAAAAACCTATAAATATAATTTTTTATATCCTGAAATCTACATTTTGATTTTATATTTAATTCGGATCCTAAAGATTGATGGCGTACTTTGTGTTGCGCGATTATTCATTGGAATTTATCGTCTACGTATTAATGGGAATAGCAATTTATTGGAACACTCTTTTCGAGATATAAAATGACGACGATGTGATACGCTCAATAATGATGCAACATCGAAATTGGTTACTGTTGTTTGCGACTCGATATAGAACAGAGTGTTCTCTGGGTTGCGCTCAGTAATCGCATTGTTTTCAGAAGGTGAAATCTTGAGAGTAACGAATCATGAAGCCCCACTTGACTCTGACGATAATCGGCATTCTTCTGATCCTAGACGTTCGTTGAAAGAGTAATTAAATAAAGTTATCAAAAACAAGTCGGAAATATGACTGATAACTACCCAAACAACACGAAGTCGACTAAAAGTCGACTATAAATTAACCAAAAGTCGATTAATAGTCGATTAATACTTAACAAATATCTCAAAAAAACTCGACTAACAGTAATGTCGACTTACGACTTAGAATGTCGACTTACTCTATGTCAACTGGGAACAGTCGACTATATACCGACTGGAAGAAAGTCAACTATAAGTCATTCGTATTGTTTGAGTAGTTACTAAATAATTACATTATGCTCATTTTCAGGCAGCACACGTGCAAAGGCATCGTTTACATCTACGAGTAAATCGAGATTGCGGTAAATCATATTAAAATTATTATATTACATATACGTATGTAACAAAGCTTATAATACGAAAATCATACAACTATCACAATAAAAGTAATATTATATATTACTTTTATTCTGAAGTAACCTGTTAAATTTAGTGACCATTTACATTTAATTCCATTAATTTCACATTAATCGTATTTTTGTTTATACTATCAACTTTTTCTCCAATCCTATTATAAAAGTAATTATACGATAAAATAAAATAGTATGACAAATTATTAAGTACAAGTAATGTACAAAATTTTTCGTACATTATATGTATGAAAAAAATAGTTTGCTTAAATATTTAAAAATTTAGTTAAAAATTCTAAAAATAATTTCGTTTGACTATCAACAAAATTATGTAAAGAGCTCAAATTAAAACGCTAGAATGTAAAAATTTTTTGCAGTATTAGTCGATATGCTTGAGTTCTCTACATAATTATTTTAATGATACAACAAAATTATTCTCAGAACTATATCTAATTTAAACTTTTAGATACTTCAATAAAAATGTTTTTTTACATATATTATAAAAGAATTAAGCCTATTATACAATGTGCTCTTTGTTTTCTGTTTCTTGTTTTTTACTTTTTGCTTTTTCTCTTTTATAACCATTTCATCGACAATTGTATTTCTTGTTACATATTTCTTTTGAAATTCGTTAATTTTTATCTCCGGTGATATAAAACAAAAAACCAAATAAGAAGCAAAAAGACAAGATGTAAAAAATAATGAAAAGCAAGAAACAGAAAACAAAAAACACATTATAGAATAATTAAGAGTTGGCAAAAAAGATTTTAATCAAATTTTCTACAAAAATATAAATATTATATTTTCTACAAAGATATTATACATATAAGATATTTAATTATATTTTACTATATTTTAACTGTTTGTCTATATAATATAGAGTTCTAATTAATTTAAGAAATTTTTTTATAACAGAATGTGGACTGACAGGAGGGATATCGAATCGTATTGTCGGCGGAAAAATAACGATTCCACATATATTTCCTTGGGTTGTGGCAATACTTAATAAAGATAATCTCCATTGTGGAGGCACATTAATTAATAATCAATATATATTAACAGCTGGACATTGTGTTCAATGGTATATTATCTATTTTTTTTTAAAGGTTAAAGAGTCTTTAGTATCATACTCTTTTTTTTTAAAAAAGATTATATATTAAAGTCAATGACTCTGATTGATTATAAATAAAAGCAAATAAATAAATAATAACCTAAATCAAAATTTTAATTTGCAACTTCAAAAATATAATATTGGAGTTTTTATATAAATATTTGTAATATTATCGACAAAATATAAATTTGATAAAAAATATATTGTTATAAATTATTATAAAATATTATTGCAATTATATATATTTTTTGCGACAGAAACAAGTACATTTCATTATAATATATTATAAAATATTCTAATTTTCATATCTTCTTCCGATTTGCATAGGACGAATCATGCTGATCTCTCGGTCGGCATAGGTATGCACGATATTGAAAACCCAAATGATGGATACATAGTCGCAATCGATGAAATAATTTTACATGAAGATTTCGAGAGTGATTATCTCCATGATACAAACGACATTGCCTTGATTCGATTACAGCAGCCGGTTAAAATCGATGAAAACGTGAGACCTGCATGTCTTCCACATAAAGGTCAGCTTTGTACTCTTTTCATAATATTTAAGCTATTCCATTTAATTAAAAGTAAATATTAATTTATAAGACACTTAAAAATAAAGTTTAAATTAAGATATTTGTTTATATCTCTCTTATATTTTACATACATATGTCAGCATTTTTTAAAATAAAAAGAAGTAATAAGTTTTCAATAATAGATTCTGATTATACGGGACGGAATGTCAAAGTTACTGGATGGGGACGTGTCCAAATTGAAGGAGAACCTTCCCGATTTCTTCGTCAAGCTACTCTGAAAATAATGTCCTTCGCAGCATGTAAAAATACTTCATTTGGAGATCATGTCACGGAATCGATGATGTGTGCTTACAATGACAATACTGATGCATGTCAGGTATTACGATCAGTTTAATTTTCCAATGTATTTTGAAATCAAAATGTTAAACATCTTTTTTTATTGTATATATATATATAT